TGCAGTCAACCAGCACCCCAAGGTCCCTTTCTCAAGTGCTGCTCTCCAGCCACTTGTCACCTAACCTGTCCTTATGACCCCCATTCCTATGCCCCAAGCGCAAGACCTTGCACTTCTCCACATTGAACGCCACGCTGTTGTCTCCTGCCCACTTCCATAGTCTGTCCAGATCCTTTTGGATCTGGAGTACCTGCTCCACAGTTGTGGCCACTGCTCCAGTTTTAGTGTCGTCTGTGAATTTGATCAGCAGACTGTTCACCCCTTCTTCTATGTCATTAATGAAAAGATTAAACAGGATTGGCCCCAGGACAGAGCCCTGGGGGACCCCGCTTGTTACTGGCCGCCATCCCGATGACTCCCCACTAATGGTTACCTTCTGCTTTCGGTCAGTCAGCCATGCCCTAATCCACCGGGCCCTAATCCATAGAACCTCCATCTTATCTGGATGAGGTCTCCATTTATTGGCCCGTATCCAGCCTATCACACCAGTCAGTCACTGCTTCGCCTGGATCAGGTGCAAAAGGGAGGCAGAGCTGGGTGTCGTCAGCCTGCTGGTGACACTCCAGCCCAAACCTAGAGAGGATCTCTCCCAGGTGTTTCATGAGGATGTTAAATAGCACAAGGGATAAAATGGAACCCTGTGGGGACTCCACGGCATAATTGCCCTGGGGCAGAGCCATAATCCCCCAGCACCATCTTCTGGAATTGGCTGGCCAAGTAAAAACAGGACCACTGCAGAGCAGTGCCTCCAACTCCCAACTCAGCCAGCCTGTCCAGAAGGTTACCACGGTAGACGAAGGCTGCTGAAAGATCCAGAAAAACCAGCCAAGGTCTACTCCCGTTCCTCTCCTGGTGCAGGTCATCACACAGAGTGGCCAAGGCAGTTTTGGTCTCAGAAACGGGCCTGAAGCGGGACTGAAACGAATCCAGGTGCTCCGTTCCCTCCAAGAGTGCCTGGGCAGCTTGACCACCAGCACCTTGCCCACGAATGGGATGTTAGCTGCTGGTTCTATACTTGGTGGTGACCTCTGGGACCAGGTTCACCCTCTTCAGAGGAGGTCTGATATTGGCCTCCTCCAAGGCAGCAGGAACCAGCCCATCCTCAGAGAGCTGCGTATAACTGCCTGGACCCAGGTGTGCGTCCCATCCTTGGCCTCGGTGGGCAGCCACGAAGGGTGATGGCCGAGTAGGCAGGTGGTGGGTCGGACCTGTCCAAGTACCTTGTCCACATCCTCAGGCCACAGTAATTGAAACCGATCCAGCAAAGATGGGCCAGACGGTGCTCTGGACACCTCCAGTGCAGGAACAGTACTAACAGTGGAGCCCAGCTTGAGTGGCTTTATTCCTAAAGTGTTGGGCAAATTCCTCATGGTGCGCCACCGAGAGTTCAAGAGGACCCGTCCTGGGCCCAGAGTGTAGCAGGCCCTGCACCACCTAGGAGAGCTTCACGGGATGACCCTGTGGGGATGCAACGGAAACAGAGAAGCCATTCCTCTCTGCCCTCGTCAGCACGCCACGGGCCCGGCAATGAGCCCCAGGAAGCGTTCAGCCAGATGCAGCACGCGCTCGCCTCCGCCCAAGCCCTAAGCGGTTCCCGCCTGCTTCCTTGCCCACAGCGCAGGTGGGTACCAAGGCTCCGCGTGGGCTTTGCCTGGTGGAAGAGGACGCGTAGCGGAGCTGCACCCGCAGCGGCCATGACCCGTTCGGGCCCCCAAGCCTGGAGCTTACCCGCATGAGGGCAAGGACATAGGACTGCATCCTCTGAGAAGAGCAACACGCGCCATGAGGAAACAAGCAACACGCATCACCAGAACGGGATGATTAGAAGCAGGATAGAAGTAATGGCTAGCGTTTTCCTCTTAAAATGAGAACGCTGCCCCTTTCAGCCACGGACATGGCGGTCATTGGCCCCTGCGTTCACCAGTCTGGCAAGCATGGTGCACAGCTTAGGTCATTGTATTTGGAAAGCTCCTCCTCCCCATGGGGTCTCTCTGTCTCGCCACGTAAGGCTCTCGCTACTGTTAATACTCGAGCATCAGCTCTTTTCTTATCTTAAACAGCCCTCACTGTGCAGCTGGGCGTAAATGGGAGGGTTGGAGGCTTGCCCTGAGCCTCTGGGCGGCGGCTGCCTCACGCAGCTGCAGCCGCACTCCCACCATTTCAGGCAGGCTTTTGCAAAAATGCATCCCTCATGAAGTCCGGAGCGTCTGCCTTCCAAGGGCTCAGCGGCCCCCTTGCGCCAAGCCCCCTTGCTCTGACTCGGAGAGCCCCGTTTTGCTGCTCACGGGCTCGTCCTGGATGAATCACGTTGTGCTGACACCTGGCGCACGCACCTCATACGGAACAACACGGCTGTGAACTGCAGCCTTCGTTTGCCAGCAAAACGTTTCATGTTCATCTCTGCGGAGAGCTGTTCGGTCCCCCTTCCGACTCTCATGTGGGCGTTGTCCAGGAAAGCATGACCTCTGGTGGGACTCGTGGGGCAGCCCAGGGCCCACATCTGCTTCACAGGCGAGATCTCATCCCTGTGACTCTCGGCTGGGATGAGACAGTCCCAGGCTGACTCACACTCCCCCGTCCTGGCCTCCTCTCTGAACTGGCTCTCCCTTTTTCGAAAGCAAGCTGCATGGCAGTGCAGGCTGAGTGGGGCATCTGCCGCCAGTGGGGGAGGAAGGGGCCCGTTCTGCAGTCTGGGGCTGGGGAACTGTGTCTAGCCAGAGCAGGCGGGCCGAGAGCTGCCTGCGACATCTGCCTCCGCCCTGCGGGTGTCACTGCCCCAGAGGAGCTTGTTTGGGCGGCCCCGGTTGTCCGGGGCTGGGTGCACCCCCAGCCTTGCCGCGGAGGGAAGGAGCAGAGGCAGCAGCGAGAGGAGCCAGCCCAGGGAGGCTCCCAGCCCCGACACAGCCTCCCTCGGCCTCGGCCTCTGCCTCTCCCTCGGCCTCCTGTTTTATCCGGATCTGGGAGGAGGGCTCAGAGTTGGCACGGAGGCAGCCTCGCACCCGCAGCCCCAGCCCCCGCCGGCTGCGGGCGCGTCCCCCCTTCTGCCCCGGCGCTGCGCGTTTGTGCCCGAAGAGCGGCGGCAGAGGGGGAGAGACGGCGGGCCCCGGGCCAGCCCCAGCCCCAGCCCCAGGCCCCAGCGTCAGCGGCCAGCCCGAAACGCACACGGCCAGCCCCGAACCGAGCGCCCCGTCCGTCCCTCCCACGTCGCGGGGCGCTCCGAGGCGGCAGCGCGTGGTGTGCGCGCCGGGGCGGCGGGGGAGGAGGGCGCCCACCCCGAGGCAGCCGCGGCGCGGCTTGGGAGGGGGGCGCAGCCGAGGACGGGCGCGCGGCGGCCCTGCGGAGCCTGCGGCGAGGGCGGCCCGGGTTGGGTTTCAGCCGCCCGCGGAGATGGTGCTCCCGAGGAAGCGCCGGCTCGTCGCTCCCTCCTCCCGCCTGCTCGCCTGGGCGGGGGGCGTGCAGAGGGGGGCGGGAGGCAGACAAAGGCAGCCAAGCGGCGGCGGCGGAGGAGGAGGAGGAGGGGAGAAGGGCGGGAGGGAGACGGAAAGTTGCGAAGAGCGGAGCGGCGGCGTGAGCGGCGGCCGGGAAAGTTCGGCTGAAGCGCGCAAAAGAGGGGCGGACCGCGCAAGGGAGCCCGGCTGCCCGCGGCTTCGGTTGCGTCCCTCGGCACTGAGGGTGGGCCCCCCCAGGCTCCCCGCGGGCTCCCCGCGGGCTCCCCACGCCCCATGGAGTTCGTGCCGCGCGGGGAGCCGGTCTGACGGACCCCCCGGCGCCTTCCAGGTAAGGCGGTGCCCCGCGCTCCGGGGAGGGGCCCCTTCGATCCCGTCCAGTGAGGCGCGGTGCAGTGGGGTCCCCCGTCTCCAAGGACGGAGCTGCCCCGCCCCCGGCGACCCCGGGCACTCCAGCCGGCCGAGGTGGGCCTCGAGGGCTCCTCTGTGCCGCGCGCGCCGCCCCGCGCTAGGCCCCCGGCGGGTGAGGGGCCCCGGGGGCCAGGCCGAGCTCGAGGGCGGGAAGTGGGGGGCCGACGCGCGGGTCGAACGAGCTGCTGCAGGGAGACGGGGGCTCCCGGGGGTCAAGCCGAATTGGAGTCGCGAGATGCCCCCCCCCCCCCCCGTGTAGCCAGGCGGGGGCCACTCCGCGGGGCGGGACCGCGCTCTGCACTCGCCCCGGAGGCCCGGCTCAGAGCCGTGGCATCGCAAGCACTTCTGGGGCTGCGCCGGGAGGCTCCAGGCTGCCGCTGCCGGGCGGAGATGGGCAGGGCGTCCAGGCCGCGGCCGCCTGGCTGGGCGTGGGCTTGCGGGACGGCTGGCCGGCAGCTGCTCGGCGCGGAGTGCCAAGACAGCCCGGAGCCACGTGAGGAGAGGCGGCCTGGATCCCGCCGGGCGGGACCGCGCGGGGTTCCGCCCTGAAGCCGCGGGCAGCCGAGCGGGTCCCTCGGCGTGTCCGGTCTCTGCGGAGGGATGGGCGCTGCGGCCGGAGCGCACGAATGCGGACTGCGTGACAGCGGGGATCTCCCGGCACAAGCACCCCCGCTCTGAAGCCGACCCCCGCGATCGCAGGCGGAGATCCTTCCGTCGTCACCCTCCCTTGCAAAAAGCCGCCACGGCCCACCTGGGGGAGCCCTGCAGGGCCCAACACGGGCGGCGGCCTTCGGCTCCAGCGCCCCCGCCCCCCGCACGGCCGGGCCGGCCGGCCATCTGCCGCGCGCGTTAATCCGTCCGGCTGCTGATGAGGGGCGACAGGCCCACGCGCGGGCCGGGCACGATTCGCGAAGCCGGAGGCAGCCCACCCAGCCCGGAGGGCCCCATCCTGGCCAGCCGCCCGGGGCTTTCCGGCGCCCCGCGGAAGGCGCCCTTTCTCCGCGGGCCCGATGCGTCTGCGGGAGAGGCAGCCTTGCCCGGCTGTGCGGCCTCGGCCGCCCCTCGACCTTCCCCCGCCTCGGCGGCCCGATCCCCCCCCCCCCCACGGCTGGGCTGGGCTGGGCTGCGTGGTGCGGACGAGGAGGAACTCGGCGGGCGGAACAGGTCGCTTGCGCAGGTGGGGCCGGTCCAAAGGTCGGGCTCTTCCCCGCCAGCCACCCGTCAAGATGCGGCTGCGGGAGCCCGTCCCCCGCGCACGGTGGGGGACAAGGAGCCAGCCGAGGGCGGGATGCCAGCCGTGGTCGGGCTCTTACAGCAGAATGCGCCCCCCCCCAACCGAAGGGGGCTCTGCAGCTGATCTCTGGCTGATCTGCGGCCTGGCCCTGGAGGGGACGTGTCCACCACAAGGCCCTTATGAGTCGAGTCCCAGACCTTGCAAGATCAGGACCGTACCTGGTGTAGACCCCCCTCCCCTGGCCTGGATAAGAGGAGCTCAAGTCAGGGGCTGGGGTGCCAGCGAGCCCCCCCAAACCACCCCCTCTGCTCAGGCAAGTCTGAACTGAGAGGGCGGTCGCCAGGGCACCCTTCTTAGGCAGCAAAGGGTGGGCAGCTGAAGGTAGGGTCCGGGGAGGGACTGCAGGTGGGCCCTCCCGTCAACTGAGGCCGGGGTGGCGGAGATCTGGCTTCCTGCAGTGTGCTGACCTGTGATCTCTTCCCTCCTGCCCCACGCCCTGCCCCACGCCGGAGGATGAGGGCGGCTTCCTTCGGCTGCTGCTGCCCACGCCTGCAGCTCCTCTGGGCTGCTCTGGTGGTCTCCATGGCAATTGGCTTCACCATCCAGCTCCTGGGAATCTCCTTTCAGAAGAGGTAACACCCCTCCCATGAGCCGGCGCCAAACAATGGCCAGCCAAGAAGAGCCCGAGTGGGGGGGGGGGCCACGGGAACTGCCCTCGGGAACTGCCCTCGCTAGTCCTGTGCATTGCAAAAGCGGCTGGGGAGTTTCCGCCTCACTCAGCCATGTGGTTCCTTTCCTGATATCTCCTCCTCCTCCCCCCCCCCCCAGAGCTTCCTTGTCCCAGCTGCTTCCAACCCTCTGGGCCCCTCCGGCCAAGGAGGAGGTGCTGGGAGGGGAAGAGACCCGCAGCCACCCCCCCCTCTGCAAGCCGCGGCAGCACCTCGTCTTCCTGAAGACCCACAAGACTGGCAGCAGCACCATCACCAACATTCTGCACCGCTTCGGGGACGCACGGGGGCTGCGCTTCGCTCTCCCCACGCGCTACCAGTTCAGCTACCCGAACCCGTTCCAGGCACGGCGGGTCAAGGGCTGGCATCCCAGCAGCCCCCCTTTTGACATCCTGTGTCACCACATGCGCTTCAACCTGCCTGAGGTGCGTGGGGGGGGGCTGAGGCGGGGGGCACTGCTTGAGGGTTCTGGGGAAGGGGCTATGGAGGAGGGGCGTGGGCAAACCTGCGGGAAGGATCCAGCCCCTTGAATTTCACGGTGACTTTGCTGGCTCTGAACTCTTCTCCACACTCTGCCCCTTGGTCACGCACAGCCCTAATTTTCTCTGCAGTCACAAGGTCTTCAAGCAGGTTCTTTTTACAGTGAACAAAAACAAAATGTTCAAAATGCTGATTTGTTATCAGAGAGCAGATTTCGCAGTTTGTGAGCACGCCCGTGGGGTGCGTATCGCTGCTAGGCTGGGCTCCAGGCCTACAGGCTGCTTCCCTCGGCAGTGCCTGGCACAGCAGACCGCTGGAACGCGATGCTCCATTCTGCTGGAATTCCTTAATGGGGGGGGGGCTCTGACCTCGGACATGAGCTGAAATGGACCCTCTGAGCATGGGAAGAGTGCTTTGCCACCCTCACCACCCAGCACACATTTGCACAGTGCCTAAAGTAATGAATGCGGTATCTCTGAACATGGGCGGAAGTAGCCGTGGGTTTGCTCTCCCGTCAAGGATGCCACCACTGACCACTTCCATGCCTCCCTCTCCAGGTCCAGAAAGTTATGCCTGCGGACAGTTTCTATTTCTCCATTGTAAGGAATCCTGCTTCCCTGGCCGAGTCCGCCTTCTCCTACTACCGTGCCGTGGTCCCTGCCTTCCGCCATGCCGGTTCTCTGCCTGAATTCCTGGCCGCCCCACAGCGCTTCTACCGGCCCGGCGAGCGAGGGAACCACTACGCCCGCAACCTGCTGTGGTTTGACTTTGGCCTCAGCCCCCCTGAGGGGCCAGGCATTGCCCCCATCAAGGCAGCTCTGGAAGGACTGCAGCATGTTTTCCACCTTGTGCTGATAACAGAGTACATGGACGAGTCCCTGGTCCTCCTGCGGGAGGCCCTCTGCTGGAGCCTGGAGGATGTCGTGGCTTTTCGGCACAACCTGCGCAACCCACAGGCAGTGCATGCCCTGAAGCCGGTGGACGCCGCCCGCCTCCGGGCCTGGAACAGCCTGGACTGGCACCTCTATGCTCACTTCAACCAGACTTTCTGGGCGCAGGTGGAGCGCTTTGGCCGGGCTCACATGGCCCGGGAAGTGGCCTTGCTCCAGAAGCGCCAGACGGAGCTCATGCAGCAGTGCCTGCAGGGCGGAGGCCCCCTGGAGCCCGGCCACATCACTGACGAGCGCCTCCGCCCCTTCCAGTTTGGCCAGACACCCATCCTGGGCTATGCGCTGCGGCCTGGCCTGGCCCCAGGCGTCCAGGAGGTGTGCCGGCGCCTGATCACCCCCGAGCTGCAGTACAAGGACCTGCTCGATGCCAAGCAGTTTCCCCCTGTCCTGCAAGGCAACGGGTCTCGGGCACGCGGGGTGAGGTAGCCCCGGAGGGCTCTGCAGGCAGTGATAGGAATGCCAGCTCCTGCACCTGCCCAGCCTCGCCTGGGCCGGGATGCTCCAAGAAAAACCTTGGGGGGCGCCTGGTGGGAATGTCCCTCTGGAGGAACTCACCAAACTGACACGACAGGTCACGCTGCCAAAAATAGCTAAGAAGGCCACATTTTAGAAGAGCAATTTCAGGTTTCTTTCAAAAAGCAGTTGAGCAGTTTGGTACAGTGACTCTTGACAGACAACGTCCAGTCGCCTGCGCTCTGCCTGAACCTGGGAGGAGCTTCCCGCCCAGGCTTGTGAAGGAAGCTCCCAAACGAGGAGCGATTTGGTTAGCATTTGAAGGAGGTGTTGGCTGAAGGGCTTCTTCCGCCTGAAGTGCCCGCAATCGCGCCTCCTGGGGCTCCTGGTCTCTTTTCTACCCATCTGCAGGAGCCGGTCCAAACCGGTTTGGGCTGCTGCTTCTCGGGTGGTCCCTGCTGGCGTACAAGCTGTGCAATGGAGGGGGATGGGGGGGCACCGGAAGGAGGTTGCAGGCACAAGGCTCAGCTCAGGCTCCAGGCTCGTGGTGCCTCCGCCTGCCCCTCCCTTGCCTTGGGGGCTCTGCCACTCCGCCCTCCTCACGAGGCTGCTTACACATGGGCAGCAGGCGTGCGCAGGGGGCCTTCCTAGAGTGTCGTTTCCTTTGTGGGACCCTCAGAGGCTCTTCTGCACAAGAAGCCGCTCCATGGGGAGACCACCCGTGGCGCCCAGGCAGCTGGCGCTTGCTCTGCGGCTGGGGAAGCTCTTCCACTGGAATTGGGCAGAGGTGGGCTAGTGGGGTGGGCTGAGGATGAGGCCTGCAACTGCACCCTCCAGTCTCAGCTCCTCTCCCAGCCAAGATGGGGGGTGGGGGTGGGATGCCTGTATGGCCTGGTCAGGTACATCAATCTGCCTGTCAGCCCCCCATGAAGACAGCGTCCAAAGGAGAGAATTTACCGAGGCACCGAGAGCAGCTGACCCTAACTCGGCATGGTTCCGGGAAGAGGGAGGGAAGAGGGAACAGACGGAAACCTATGCGTGTGCCCTTGAGCATAAGCCCCATGGAGGAAGTGAGCACACAGACGAAGGACAGCCGTGCTCGATCTAACCAAGGTGTGCGCTCGTCTGTTCCTGCAGCAGTCGCGCCACTGCTCCCGGGACCCCACAGGCTGGGCCTCCGTTCTGCAGCACCTCCCTGCTGAAGTCCCCGTGCTGCTGCTGGCGCAAGAACAGCAGTGCCACCAGGACCAGCAGCATCCTCCTGCTCTCCCGGAATTTGCTTGAATTGGTGGCCATCACTACACGCTTGGAAGCAGATTCCAGTGTCTCGTGATGCATTGTGTGAAGGGGGACGCCCTTTTATCTGTCTTGACTCTCCTGCCAGTCAGCTTCATGGGATGGGGGTTTGGCAATGATGGGAGGGAGAAAAATGCCCCCCCCCCCACTTTCCCCACACCATGCTTAGTTTAGTATACCTCAGTCCTGTCTCTCCCTTTCGTTAGCCCAAACATTCAGATGCTCTAACAGGGGAATTGCTCAGGTCCCTGGGTCATTTCTCAACGCCTTTTCCAATTCCCAAATGCCCCTTTCCAGGTTCCGCAATCACAGCTGCATATACTATTAGTATTCTAAGGGTAATCGTATGGGTGGCTTTATTTTCTGTGCCTAACATGGCATTCTGCCTTTTTCCCAGTGGCTGCACATGGGTTTCCATCAAGTCGTCCATGGCAACCCCAAGACCCCTTTACTGATCTCTCGCTGCGGACTCCGACCCCATCAGCCTGTGCCCGAAGTGGGCAGTTCTTGCTCCCGTGTGCGTGTGCACGGTTTCGACTGAGCCAACTTGCCATCTTGATGCCACTTCACCGTTGTGCAGAGACCCCTGTGGAACACTCCACAATCCCATTTGGTCGCAGGAGCCATACAGGGCTTGATGTTATCGGCAAACCTGGCGGCTTCGGTGCTCGCTTCCAGTTCCAGATCTTTTCCAAAGCATCGGCTCCACTGCAGATCCCCGTGGGGTCCCTGCGCTGGGAGAATTTGCCATTGCCACCTTTTGTTTTCCGTTCTTTAACCAATTGCTGATCTGTAAGAGGAGCCCTTCCTCATTCCATGGCACCTGCGCAGGCTTCGAGCCTTTGGAAGTCCAACTAAATCATGCCGTCCCCGTCCACATGCGCACTGGCGCTCCAAAGAACTTGAAAAGGTTAGCGAGACGAGGCGTCCTTTCGCGGAAGGCATGTCGATCTTTCGCAGCAGGGGCTGGCCACCTCTGTGCCAACCAATTCTGGCTTTCAGCCTGTTGACCCAAAGCGGAGATTAAGCTTACTGCCCTGTAACGCACCAGCTCCCCACAGATTCCTACCTTGGCCATTCCGTCCTCTGATACCCAGACTGATCTTAGAGACATGCTGCACATTTTTAAAAGGTCAGCAATTTCCTTTTTGACCTTTGCAAGAGCCCTAGGATGGATACCATCTAGACCTGGTGATCTTTTAATTGTCTGTTTGCCAATAAAGTTGAAATTGGCAACTTTTCTGGGTTCCCACTATCGCCCTTAATTCCTTAGATTCCCTTCCCAAAAACCAGGCATCTGCTGTATTTTCAGCTGTGAAGGCAGATGAAAATAATTCCTTCTGCTTCTCCAGTCTCTGTTTCCTCTCTTGAATACTCCTTTAACTCTTACCATCCAGTGGTCCAAGTGCCTCTAGCAGGTTTCATGTTTCTGACGTATGCAAGGAATCCTTTAATACTGGCCTTGGTGCCGTTAGTGACGTGGCCCTCAAAGGGCCCCGTTCCCTGCCCGCCTGCCCCCCCCCGCACTCTCCTGCCCCCATCTGAGCAACGCCTCTGTTCTCTTAAGGAGGCCTTATTCCCCAGCTAGCGGAGGCCTCCCCAACAGCTGCTTCAACCGCCTGCACTGGGGGCCTCTGGGCGGGGGGCCTGGTTCAAGCACACCGGCCCAGCTGCTACTGCTGCTGGATGCAGCCACCGCCGGGCATTTGGAGGGATTTCAGCCTCTTGGCTCGCCATTTCAACTTCCTTTTTACCAGCTCCTCATTTTAGAAGTGTCTTCTTTGAAGCCAAATGTCATTTTGTTGGACTTCCTTGACAGTTTCCCAATTAAGTGTATGTTGGAACTGGTAGCCGTCCCAGCTGGTACCTGCACACCTCGCCGATGTTGTGGGTTTGGCTCCAGACCACTGCAATCCAGTGAATATCACAGTAAAGTGAGTCATGCAAATGTATTGGTTTCCCAGTGCATACAGAAGCTACACTTATAGTGTACTGTAGTCTATTAAGTGCAATAGCATTATGTCTAAACAATAATGTACATGCCTTAATTAAAAAAACTTTATTGTTCAAAAGTGCTAATCATCTGAGACCTCAGCAAGTCGTAATCTTTTTGCTGGTGGTCTTCCCTTGATTTGGATGGCTGCTGACCGGACGAGGTGCTGGTTGCTGGAGGCTGGGGTGGCTGTGGCAATTGCTTAAAATAAGGAAACAGTGACATTTGCAACATGTGCCGACTCTTCCTTTCATGAACGAGTTCTCTGTGGCATGCAAAGCCATTTGATAGGATTTTACTCCCAGAACTGCTTTCAAAATTGGAGCCAGTCACCACAAACTCCGCTGCTGCTACGTTTAAGCAAGTTTATATGATATTCTGAGTTCTTTGCTGTCATTTCAACAATCTTCAAGTATCTTCACCAGGAGTAGATTCCATCGCAAGAAACCACTTTCTTTGCTCATCCGTGAGAAGCAACTCCTCATCCGTTAAAAAGTTCTGTTGTGAGATTTCAGGAATTCAGTCACATTTTCAGGCTCTGCTGCTAATTCCAGTTCTCTTGCTATTTCCACTGAAGTCTTGAGCCCCTCAAAATCTTCCATGAGAGTTGGGATCAGCTTCTTCCAAACTCCTGTTAATGTTGATATTTTGACCTCTTTCCATGAATCACAAATGTTCTTGATGGGATCTAGAATTATGAATCGGTTCCAGAAGGTTTTCAATTTGCTTTGCTCAGACCCACCAGCGGAATCATTATCTATGGCAGCTAAAGCCTTATGAAATGAGATAAGACTTGAAAGTCAAAACTTAGGATTAGACCCAAGGCTGTTTTCTGTTCTTGAGCAGTCAGGACACTGAGCAATTCAATCACTTTGTTGTGTCTGAAAATGTTGTGATGGATTTCTCCAGCCAAGGTGGAGATAAGTGCAGTCGCCCATTAGCACAAGGGCTCCCTCCCTCCCTCTGCTGCCTTGGATTTAGTTTTCCACTGCATGACCACCCTGAGGGGCGATGAAGGCATGTTCCTGCGACGAGTGCCTGACCCAGGTGCTTTACCCCCAGGGCATCTGCAGTGGATTCCCTTAGATGATTGCGCCTGTGGACTCTGATGTGCAGAGCAGCATCTCCGGGAAGCCCTTCCTGGTCCTTCCTGGGAATTTACATCCGGGGGAACCATTCCACCAGGCCCTTGAACGCCCCCATGTGTATGCTCCCACCGAGAAGCAGGCACTGCAGCTCCCCAACTTTGCCCGGAAGGGCTCCAGCGCTCACGCAAGCACCGTGTCGCTCCCCAGACACCTCCGCGCCTGCATGCCACTGCTTCCGCCCAAGGCAGCTGCTTCCCAGGCCCGTCAGGCTCCCCCAGACAGGCCCAGGGCCAAAGCTGTTCTGCCACTGTTCGGCAGGGGCTGTGGCGCCAGCAGCCTGCTTCCAAGTGGTTCGCGGGGGGCTCGCCTTCCTTGTACAGGCCCAGCCCGTCCCCAGATGTTCCCGGTGCCGAATGGCTCTGGGTTCCTCCCCCGAGGCACCACCTCGTGCACAGAGGCTGCTCAAGTGCACCTGCCTGGCTGCCCCCGTGCACGGGACAGGTGGCATGTAGACAGCCCCTTTGGTGGCCCCTGTCTTCTGCCAGCAACTCACAGGTGGCTCCCAGGACCTCCCGGCTACCTTGCTTAGTGATTAACAAGCCACCATCACTGGGCCAGAATCACGGATTCCCTCCCCGCACCATCTGCAGGAATCTCTGGAGGGCTTGTGATACTCAGGCCAAGCAGGCAACTTACCACATGGCTCCCGCTGCCATTTCCAGCCCCGTGAGTCTGATGAGCCCCCCCCCCCCGCCCCCAAGCCCCCCCCCCCCCATAATCATACCCATGGCACTCAGCACGATTCCCTGGCCAGCCTCCACCCCTCTGCTACCTCCTTACCTGGATTGTTACTGTTCTTGCTTAATTGGTACTGATTTGTTTTTCACTTATAAAAGGCAGAGAACTTACTTTTAGCTGTTAACTTGCACATCACTGGTTCTTACTGTGAGAAGGAAGGCCGCCGCTCTCTCCTGGCCGCCTCGTCCTGTCGCCGGGCTTGCCTGGCTGCCCACCCACTTGTGTGCTGAGGCCTCGTGCCCGGGACTGGGGCACGCCAGCCCGAGGCTCCCTGTGCTTGGGAGGCCGGCTCCCTCGCAGGCTGGCCCAGCAGAGGTGTGCTTTGGGAGGACTACGCTCTTTTCTGTGCATGTGCCTGGACTCTGAAACGTGGAACGGCCCTGTTCCGAGCCCGGGGTGCTGAGGCTTTTCAAAAGCTGTAAAACCCTGAGCTGACAAGGCGTCTATTTTGTGCTCCTGCCCTGCCTGTGGGATTCTCACTGGAGCATCTGACTGGCCACAGAGCAGTGAAACACTGGTTTCACCCAGCGTGGCTCTCCTGCACCGATTATTTCCGTAGCTCTTGCTGTGATCATGGCATGCTGTCAAGTCGTCTCAAACTTTTGGTGTCCTGCCCTTGCCAGCCCTGCTCAGCTCTTGGAAACTCAAGGCTATTGCTTCCTTTGCAGAACGGGTCTGTCTCGTAATTGTCCTCGTCGTCTTCTCCCTTCAGCTTTCCCTGGTATAACTGCCTTCTTCAATGAGTCTTGACCTCTCCTGATGTGCTCAACGTAGATCAACCTCACTTTTGTCATTTCTGCTTCCAGGAAAAGTTCTGGTTTGCTTTGATCTAGGATTTGCTTCTTGTCCTTTCTGTTGACCCAGGACTTTCGCAGAGCTTCCCTCTGGCACCATGCTTTGAACGGCATGGCATGCCTTTTCTCCGTGTCAGCTTCCTTCCCCGTCCAGCGTTCACACCCATTCATGCTGACTGGAAATGGAATAGTCTGGATGACCCTGGCCTTGTTCTCCAGTGAGGGACCCTCACACACGATCCTCTTCTCTAGCTCCTTCAATGCTGGCCTTCCAAATCTCAGTCTCCTTCCAGTTCCTCGACCGCAGCCTCTCTCGGAATTGAGGACTCGGCCAAGGCAGGTAAAACCTTCCACAATTTCAGTGTCTTCTGTCTTGACAGGAAGGTTCCATAATTCTTCAGCAGTCGCAATTACTGTTCTTGACGCTCAGCTGCAGCCCTGTTTCTGCACGTTCTTCCTCCAGTTTCATCAGGAGTCATTTCAATTTGCTGCTTTGGTATCATCTGAATATCTTAAATTACTGATGCATTTCACACCAAGTTTCTCTCCTCCCTCTGATCCGAATTCAGCTTTCCTTCTATGTTCTACATACAGATTCAACAGGCAGAGATAAAATGCACATTTGTCTCACGCCTTTGCCCACGGAAAACCATTCTGATATTCCATCTGAACAATGGCTTCTTGTCCAAAGTACAGGTTGTGCATCAGGACAATCAAGGGTGGAGGCACCCCCCGTGCCCTTCAGGGCTAGCCATAGCTTCTTGTGAGCCACACAGACGAAGGCGTTGCTGCAGTCTATAAAGCACAGGCCAAGCTGAAACCCCCGTCTGCTCCAGTAGACAATGTATATTTGTGACCTGATCTCAAGTGCCTCTACCGTTTTGGAATCCAGCTTGGAAGTCTGGTATTTCTCACTCCGTATAGGGTAAGAATTGTTGCTGCAACACCTCTGGCATCACTTTGCTTGCATGGGAAAGTAGTGAAATGGTTCTATGGCTGCCGCACTCCTTTATTCCTGCTTTCCTGGGAACTGGGACACACATCGAATGCTTCCGGTCTGCGGGGCATTGTTTTGTTTTCCTTATTTGCTGGCATATTCTTGTAAGAGTTTAGACCAATTTAGTCTCTGGAGTGGTTCTAATGCCACTATATTTATTTTGGTACTTTATTCCTCCCAAGCGGATCAGCGTTCTCTTTGCTTTCGAATATTGCAGGCTCTTCCTCACAGGACTCCTCCTCAAAGGTGCCTGTCATCCTTTTATCTCTTCGGCATATTTTTTCTGCCTTCTTTTAACTAGTCACGTGGTGTGCGCTCCTTGTTGTCTTCCAGCATTCCCAATCTAGGCCTGAATTTCGCTTTGCTTTCTTGGCTCTTCAGGAAGAGATCTCATGTTAATTCTTGTGTTGCAGTTCTTTGCACTGGCCGGTATAACATTTTGAATGTTTCTTCTGTAATCCATCTAGTTTTTTTTAATTTTGCACTGTAGGAATTGTCTTTTTGTACTCTTCCTTAATACTGTATCTGAATTGAGTTCACAGTTCTTCTGATCAGGCAAGTTTAGTGACGCAGATCTGTTACATGGACTCAGGAAAGCTATTCAGTTGTATTTTGTCACTGTGCTTCTACTGATGAACTTTTTCAGCTTTACTCTGAGTTGTTACCAGCACAGAGCACGGCCACTACCACAATCTGCTCCTGGCCGTATTTCAGGCAGTGAGAATACATCTTCTCTGTTTGGCACAACGGCACAGTCTCCTGGATTTCTGTATTGCCAAATACAGGCCTGGATTTCTGTGGTGTCCGTGTGTCCAGTCATGTGGTCCTGTAACAACAGAGCACTGCAGGAAATAGGAAGCTGCGGCTGTGACTGTCCAGCAACTGAACGCCAGCAGCTGGCCGCCCTCTCATCCCAGCTTCCTAGGCAGCAACAGCCACGCTGCTGAGCCCAGCTCAAGGTGCCGGTTCAGTTGTAGGACCTTACATGGCTGGACACCACTATACTTGACAATATGCCTCCCCCGACTGCAAACTTCGTGTACACGATGATAAAAATCTGGCTCAGTTGGTGGCGACCAGGAGCAGGGCCTGTTCCGTGGCGGCCCCTCCACTGCCATCATGGAGCAGCCTGCCCCAGGGCTCGCCTGGCAGCCCGGCCAAGACAGGGCAAGCAATGCTTCAGCTTATTCCGGGGCATTATGTCAACTGCTCAACAAGCCTTGTGGCTTAATTTCAGTAAGCCATTGTAGCTTTTTAAATTCGGTCTTTAAATCTTATACTGTGCTTTTTATGATGTTTTTAATGTTCTTTTGTATTTTGTATGGCTTTTTATGTGCTGTTGTGAACTGCCCTGACAGCTTTGGCTTTTGGGCAGTACAGAAATGTAAGTAACAGTAGCAATAATAAAAGTCCCCAGTGGGAATTTCTTCTCCACCGTACATTCTTGCGGGTGGAGCTGTTCCTGCTCTCCCCATCTCTACCCCGAACCCCATCCGCGTCCCAGTTCCGCAGCTGAGGTCTCAGCGCTGCCGGCCCCGCAAGGCTGTTTTGCAGCACACGGAGAGAAGGCGCGTGGATCGCAGAACAGTAGAGCGGAAAGGGGCCGGAAAGCCTTCGGAAGGTTGGTCCGGTTTTAACCTGTCAAAGAGGATGTATACATGTCTGTATTGTGAAAGTTGCCTATATTTCAGCAATCGGGAAACGGGGGGCATGTCTCAATTTGCTCCACCTGTCTTCCTGCCCGGCCCCGGGGCAGGGGGGGGGGCAGACATGCCTCCATAGAGGAATGTGTCTCAGGGCCTGGACTGGTGGGTCTTTCCTGGCAAACACAGACATTTTTCTAGAATCACAGAGCTGGAAGGTGCCTCAAGGTCAACTAGACACACCTCTCACCTGGGAAACCCTGCTGGGGGGCTGCTAGGGGGGCCACCAGCCTCTGCTCTGGAAACTAATGAAGGCAGCCTGGGGTTGGGGTTGCGGTTGTTGTGCAATATGGCGCAGGAAAAAAGCCAAATCGAAGTGTGCCAGAGCCCTGTTGTCATCTGCTGCCCCCACGTACCCCATGGCCAAGAGGGCACCTACTGGAAGAGCTTTTTGGACGGGGGGGCACCCCCGCTTCCTGCCCCCCAGACAAACAGCCGCGGGCCTCTCAGTCCAGTCCTTCCCCCTCTCGTGCCGCAGCGTCGCACCGCGATGCTGCCTGGAAAGGGGCGATGAACAGGCGCTCCCGGCAGGCCACACCGCGCTCCCGAAAGCGAACGTGGGAGTGCGGCGGCCCCGCCTCGGTTACGCGCAGCGTGCTGCAGACACCCCGCAGCGAGCCTCTTTGGCCGCCGCCAGCCTCCCGCGGAAAGGCCCTCTGCATGTGCTCAGAGGCACTGCCAGCACCGCCGGGCTCGCCCTAGCCCTCCGTAGCCCTCTCCACCGGCGCGGGGCGGCGCGGCGCGGCCAACGCCGACAGGGGCGGGAGCTCGCCTCCGGGGGCAGCCGCAGGCGAAGCGCCCCGCGCAGCCGCTCCTCCGAAGCCGCGTCCCGCAGAGCGGAGGGCGCGGCCGGGCGGCCCGGCGGGCTCGGGCGGGAGGCGGGGAAGGAGGAAGCCGCGCGGCCCGGTTTCTCCGCCCCTTCCTTCCTGCCTGCCCGGCTCGTCCGCCTCGCGCCGAGGCCGGTCCTCCCGTGCGGCGCCGTCGCCCCGCGCCCCGGCCGCCCCGCGCGCGATGCCGCGCCCCCGCT